ATTAAAAATAATTTTCAACATTTTATTAATTTCTTCTTTTCATCATTAAAATATTTTATTAATTTTATTGATAGCAACAAAAATGTGTTTAGTTAAAAATGAAACTGTTGTGCGGTAAAACGAAAACTATGAAATTTACATTTTAGCAATACGTTTCCAGTGGCTAAATGTATTAAAAGAAGACGTTTTTAGTAGCATTCATTGAACAAGTAGATATTGTTCCAACATTGGCCTCCCTCTTCGATGTACGCATTCCGAACGAAAATCTTGGAGTCACAATGTTGCCCCGTATTGCCACTGAACCTCTCGATCCCTCAGTGATGGTATCACTTTTGCAGAACTCTCAACAATTCCAAGATTTGGGAGTACGGTCAGGCAAGTTTATCATGCTGAACCTGAAAGAAAAAGTAGAAAAAAGCTGATAAACAGTTTTGTTAGCAGTTCAAATTTCTGTTAGTTTTTTTCTTCAAAAAAAAAAAGGGACAAATATGGGAAATTGGAGCGGAGTAGAAGGGGTGGGAGAGCTTCTGCGTTATATTTACTTTGATGAACCGGGAACCCTTATTTGGCTGTCTGAATTTTTATTTGTATGGGAAAGTTTTCCGGAAGAAAATGAAGAAACTGATACTAATTATAGAGGTGAACGAGAATTTCCGGTTTGTACGCTTCCGTTTTGGTTTACAGTGTTTTTGTTTTTACCGCGGTACTTTCGAATTGAACAACAGCATAGGCGAATCTAGGAAGGAGGGAGGGAAATGCGATGGGTCCTCTTCCCTCCTCTTCCTCCTCGGCCCCCAGCGGTACAAGCACAGTGCTACAAAAGTGCGGGTTTAAAGCTGAAACTGAAGAAAACTCTCTTCTGCACCCTCCGTCCCTCCTCTCTCCCATCCCTTCCCTACCTCCTCGATCGTCGCCAGCAGAAGCCTCACTCCTTTCCTCCTCTCCCCTCCCCTCAGGAAACCTCCTTGGATCCACCAATGATCAACAGTTTTATAGGAACATACGAATTCGTGTAATTTTATTATATTTCAGAAAAGCTCGATTTTTGTGTTCATCGTCTTCGGGATTTTTTAAGCAAATATTGCACGCGTGATTCCTCGTTGGCTCCATATTCACTGGTTTCGGAATGTTCTGAAAGACTGCGTGAGATCCAGGCATGGCTAATACTTTTGGAGACGAATTTTGATAATGGACAAATAATGGCTGGCATTGCTTTGTCCTTCAGTGTAAGTTTATCAGTGTGTGTGTGTGTGTTTTTTTTTTGTAATATTAAGATAGGAAAAAAAACCTTGCTGTGCTGCCATTTTCTTTGGTTAATGCAAATTTTTCCAATTTATGAAGTTATTTTTGCACACTGAGCAAAGAGCTGATAAGCCTAAGCTGAGCTTGGTCTTTGATGCTATTAGTAATTTTTTTGCTTTTTCTAAGTCTAGCGAAGGACTCCGTCACAAATATACAGTTAAATTGAACACACTTGGACACACCTTGCTAGATTTGAAATAAGTTACAGAAATTTACTTTAAGGCCTTTTAATCAGTCAATTTTTTCGGCTTCGATCACTTGGGAATGAGATGGTGAAGGCATTAAGCTGGAAATAGTGTTTTTTCTGTGTTTCTAATTTGTAAGAATGTTCTAAGCCATCTTTTTTTTGCAGATAACATTTGTTTGTATTGCCATGGTGTATTTTACAAATATTCGTCGAAGGACTAACTGTGGTAAGCTTTTCACTGTTACTCTTTTTAGTATTCGACAAATAACAAATTATTATTTAGCTGTGGCTTTATTCAAGTTCTGTTTATTTTTTGCAAGAAGGATGCCGATGAGAATAGAAAAAGTTTGGAATTTATAGGTTCTAGTTACTAGTTTTACAGTATTTCTGCAAAAGTGTTTGAGAGGAAGGCATACCCAAGGCAGTGTTTGCTGATAATACGAAATTCTCTTGCTCGATTCTAAATTTTTGAAAACATATATTGATTAATAGCAAGTAACCTCTATTCTAATCCAGTGAAATCATGGTTTAAATCATTGTAAATCAATTTTTTTTTTTTTTTTTT